ACAGCCTTCCAGAACTAAAAGAGACTTCAGCAGAAGGCTCCTATAGAATCCTAAGGAATCTTTATCAGTTCTGCATGTTAGCAAAGTTGGCATTTTTCAAGAGCAACAGATGCTACCTATCACCAGCTTCATAAACAAAGAAACACAGCTGCCTCAAAATGCAACATGCCAACATTCAAACACCCCATACCATAACAGGGAGCAATTGCTTTTTGCTGCAGGATCACATAGGGCCAAAAGAGGTTAACAGCAGCAAGAAACCCAGCCCCAGTAGTTCAGTAGCCATCCTGCTAAATATTGAAAAGCTCAACTTTTAACAAGAACTTTCAATATGCTCCTATGAAGCTATGACATTATTCCTGACATACAAAACAGCATTCAGAGAAAAGCTATGAACACTTGCACAGCCTGAAGGAGAACCTACAGCAGTGGAGCTGCTTGAACTTGGGTGTGCAAGGTACAGAGAACCATTTATCTCTGAGCTGGTATACTACAACACACCAAAAACCAACTGCTTCCATCTGCGAGTTTCTTTCAAGTATTTCTCCCTTCTTCCTTCTAATAACTATCTCATCTGAAACAATTATACCTCACTAGTCCTAAGGCTGCACTGACTTGCCATTAACAAAGGCATTGAAATATTTAAACTGGGCAATGTCATTGCCAGGTGAGCAACCATGTTCTTCTGTTCAGCTGTCTTTTAACAGCCACAGCCCAGAAAGCAGCATGCTGTCAGACTGATCTTACAGAAGGTTTCTTACATGTATTACAGCAAGAATCAAATACAACCAACAGCAATGTTGTTGCATGGTCATTTGGTACCACCAACTCAAACATTCACCTCTGAAGTCCCATCCTCGCCATCTCTCAATTCCTGATTCCAGCACAGATCTGTCCATGTTACACCATCACCCACTGTACCAACGCTCAAACAGAAGCCCCTAGGACAGCAGAAAACTATTCACCTCCACAGCTGCCGGACAGTGCAAAGCTCTGATAAGCTTATGAACAAAGTGAAGACAGGGAAAGCCAATAATCAACAGCAATGCAACTCAAGTACTGCTTACTGGTATGCATTTTCAGAACACTCCCATTTTTCTTCACAAATACAAACCCGGGGCAACACAAAACAAGTTGGTAGCAAAGCTGCATTAGTGCCTGTTCCTCAGTTGCCTTTGTATTACAAACAAGGTCTTGGGAGCTCAGTTCCCTCAGTTATGTTTATCAGCAACAATTAGTACACTATACAAATAAGTGACTTAACTGAGCAGAGAAGTGTGTTGTGCGAGTCTGCATAACCAGCAGCTCAGCTGCTGCAGCGGATATTCACAATTGCATCCATTCATTAGCATTCCTGGAATACAGCCTGCCCAGCTCGAGCTGGTCAGATATCTCTGGAAAGCAATCGACACCCCGCTCCTTTTCCAGCACTCCCATAATATCTTACCCCCAAAGTCTGCCAAGCATGTAGGACGTTTGCACAAGCTTTCTCAGTAACATTCTTTCATCACACACGACATATTTCTTTTCCCACAAGGGCAAAAAAAACAAAAAACAAAAAAAAAACACAAAGCCAACTGAAACATGACACTTGTCGACTATGAATTTGGGCATATGGACATGAAGGTGAAAGAAGAACTGACATACACTGACCCTGAAACACAGCTACTACAGGCCTGCCTAACTTGGAGTCCCACTTCTGCCTGCTTTCACAGTATTTGGCAGATAACAAACTCAAAGTGCACTGCAAGGCTCACAGTTGCCTCACAGATTCTTGAATACTGCTATTTACTCTGCTTATAGCCGCATTTAGAGAGGAAAATCAAGTTAAGTCACTCTGTAGATCTTTCATAATTAGTACAAGATGTATTTCTTCTTAATATCTTAGCAAATTAGTTGCATAAACTAAATAGTACAGCTTTGCTTCTTAAAAGAAGACTGAGATGTGCCAAAGGTACTTGTTTTTTCCCCTTCAGACCCCACCTCCCTTCCACCCACCTTGATAAGATTTCACAATTACCCAATTCTGCATCACTCAGTGGGTAATGGACTACTCAAAGCAGGAAATCAAAGGATTTTAGGCAAAATGCCTTGGAAAAAATTCAGTTCTACATCTTCAGATCAAGAAGACAGAAAAATTTATCAGTCATACTATACACACCTCCTCACACCTCCATTTCTACCCTAGGCACAGAGCAATTTTTAAAACAGTAGGTGATCAGGCAGGAATAACACAAAGAACTTTTCTCAGATGAGAAGCTGCTTCTCCTAACAGACCTCTGCCCCTCACTGCAGTTCTCAGTTTGCTTCAAATGAAGCCCCTTCTCGAACTAGTTTTCCTTTAATGGAGTTCCTCTTCATGTTCCAAATGGTGAGCAATTTACTAGATGAAGTCAAGATACTTAGAGCTATATAGCATTTCTTTGTGAATTTTAGAAGATGACCATAAGATTAATCCATGCAAATTCATTTCCAAGTATGTAATGAATGCCTGAATACAGGAGAAGGTGTGAGAAGAACTGCAGACACCTGCCTACACACCAGTCCACCCTCCTGGCATGTACACATTAGGGCTGAAAGGAAAAACACTTTCCACAAGATTTCTAGCTCTCACAACCACAAAGTAAATCCTCTAAACAAAGCCAAGTGCTCACTTCCTGAACCTGCAGGCAGAGCAGTGACTCACAGTGAGCAAACTCCCATTGTGCCTTATTAGTGTTATCAGTGTCAACCCTCAGCCTATTAATGACACTTGAAGGTCTTCATTAACTATTTCACCACTGATTTCAGTCCATAAAGCAACTGGGAACGTGCCCAGTGATTTAAACATCTGGAAAGAAAAAAGACAAAAAGAGCAGACAAGCAATGGTTTTGCAATAAAGCCTTTTCAGCAAGTAAAGCAAATAAAGACAAAGTAGTAAAGCAGCACCCAAAAAGCAGCCGGGTTTTCCTTTTCTCCTTGGTTTGAAACCAGTAGAAGTTGAGCTGCCTCCAGAGGGGAGTGAGAAATAAGGTTGGGACTACATCTGCTACCTTATGTGATGTGTAGGCATGTTTAGAGTGAGCTCTCCTTGCCTACCAGCATCCCTAAAGAAAACTATTCCAGGCCAGCAGAGCCTCCCTGCCATTCAGCTCCACTCTGTACCACTCCAGCAAATGGCGAGCCTTTATCTCCTGGCACAGAAGCACGGAACAGAGAAGTCCGCATTTCTCCAAAGATAACCACAAGTTGATTTCTCTACTGCACATCAGAGCATGGCATGTATAGCAAACACAGCACACAGCAGCTGTTCCTGTTCCTCACTGCTGGCTCTCGTGGCCACGCTTCCAGAAGCGCTTCCTTAGAAACTTAACACTGTATGAAATAATTCTGCAATTCTTCAAAACAAAAATACAAAAATAATTTTAAAAACACCACTGCTCAGGATATGCTGCCTAAGGCCTGTTTCACCAGTGCCCACCAAAGGTGTCCCCCCTGCTGCTAAGTTCTCCTTATCGTGACATGAAGTGATCCATTTGGCACAGTCACATCTGTTACTATGAATTATATGAACATTTGGGATTACAGGCTATGCAAAATGAACATAAGCCATTAAAGTGACTAAAATTATTTCTCTTCATATATTAGGACATTAGAAAGCGACCAGTTTGAAGTCAAACCTTCTCAGCACAAAGAAAAGACTGTCAGCAATCTCCCAAAGGTAGGCACATTCAACTGCAGTCCTAGTGGCTAACTAAAGCTGTACTGCTTTAACTGGAGCACAGCTGCCCACAGCACTGCTTCTGCTTGTATGAGTGCCTTAGCAGAGCTACTGCCCCAAAGGTGCTGCCAGAGCAGCAGAGAGCACAAGGCCTGCATCACCACAGATACAATTCTTAAGAAGACTGATTTGCTTGAGGTGCCTTCTCCATCCTATGCCCCACCCCCACACACGCAGCAGCTTTACTAAAAGCACTCCAAGAAACACTGACAACATTATCTTACAGTCCGACATTCTTCCCAGGTGAGGGAAAGCCTATAGGACAATTTAGCACATCAGAACTTCCCATAATGCTGTCATTCCCATCTCTAAAAATAGAAACAGGAAAACCCCCACTCATATTTTATTCCTCCAAACTGCAGTAAATCCAGCAATAAACAGTAATGATATTAATTCAATGCTCAAATCCTGCTTTCCCTGGAAGTTCTTCCTGAAAGGAGCAGTCAGTTCAGAGCACTTTCAGCCACTGTGCCACACTCAAGAGCAGTCTGCAAGGCCTGTGAGAACCAAAGAACTGGGTGCACCCTCTCTCAGGCCCTTGGCAAGTTTGCTCATATTATGTATTATATCGTAAAAATCCGTTCCTATTTTCCAACTAAGAAAGCATTTGTCTGACGCTGTACTTCTCCACTGTGTCTACATCCTCACCCAGACAAGCAGAGTTAAGTGGTAGTCATTTAATTCAGAGAACTATTATCTCTAGACCTTACACTATGTTAGCACATCACATATATCCAGACGCAAGTACTCTCCTTACTGACATGATACAAAATGAAAGTTTACCAGCAGGGTAAGAAAACAGGACAGTGCTAGCAGCATGCCATGTTCTCCACACACACCTCACCCGACAGCCCTAGGACAGCAACATGCTCATCTTTAACAACAGGGTAACACAGCAGTGGAACGCTACTTTAACTTTGCTGTCATTTGCCTGTTTCACAGTAAGCTCAGAGGAAAGGAGTGAACAGACCTCCTCACACTGTGGGGAAGGAGATGTAGGAGGGGTGACTATTCTCAGTCCGTCTTTGATTCAGAGATTACATTACTTGTGCACTAAGCAGCTTTACGGCCACTTTCTGCCAGCTTTGAGAACAAGAAGTACAGAACAGTTTTTAGGCAAGCAGTAAATTGTACACTTCAAAGAAATCTCTACAATTTCAGTTAAGACTTCTTGAAAATAAGAACTCTAAAAGCACCTTAAGAAAAGGTATTTTTATAATGTTTTAAAATAATTCGTACCTGTCTTCATCACCATCAACAGGAATAGATATGCCAAACACAGAGCTGGCAAGACTGTTCATAGGAGTACTTGCGGATAACTGAAGAGGATTTGCTAGAGTGTCTGGAATGGGAGGCTTCACGAGAGGTTTAATTTCAGCTGTAAGAGAAAGTGGTGGCTGAGGTAGGGGTTCCGATTTTCTTCTAGTATCATCAATCTGGCCTACTACAGATTGAGCAGGAGCCTGAAACTGTCCGAGGTTCGACTGTGACAGATTTGTAGGTACATTAGGTGCACCTTGTATCAAGGAGTGCCCGACGTGCTGTTGCTGCTGGACAACACCGGTACTTCTGCTGACAGAAGTGTGGCTAGGCAGCTGTGACTGAACCAGAGTAACAGGGACATTTGGCATAGTAACAGAAGTGGTAGACACACTAGGCACACTTGTACCGGGCACAACTGCAGGCACGTTCTGAACTCCAGAAACCACGGCATGGGGAGCACCAGGCACGCCAGACACTTGACTGCTTCCACTCATTTGATGCTGAGTCACGGATTTCTGTTGCACAACCCCTGCATGCCCAATTCCTTGCTGCACCACACCTCCTGGCTGCTGGACAGCAGTCTGACCAGCTTGTGTCTGGCCACTTTGCATAATTCCTGATCCCTGTGCAACTGCTTCAGCTGGCTGCGCTGGCACCCCCATCACCGGTGCTCCCCCAGGTGAAGGGCTCAGGCCAGTCACCTGTCCCACAGGCAGGTTGGAGGCTGCAGTACTTGGAACAGAGCCTGCAGGAGCCTGCTGAATAGCTCCTTGTGGCTGCATAATTGTCATGTGTTGCATGTATTCAGACTGACCAGAAGGTTGTGTTGGCAGTAGGTGCACTGGTGGAATCTGGGACTGAGAATAAGTAAATTGTTGAGGCTGAGTCACTGGTACGCTTGCTTGCTGCACCTGCTGCTGTGCCACAGGAATGCTTGGCTGGCCCATCGTTACATTTGGAGGTGCTATGCCTTTTCCATTGGGTCCAGTCTGTGCAACGCTCTGCGCATTTACCTGTGGCTGTGATTGCTGTGGCACCATTATCTGCTGATTTGCTACTGAAGCTCCAGAAAACATAGACTGAGCAGTACTTTGAGGCATGGCCCCACCTATGGGTTGTTGCGACTGCTGTTGTTGCCCAATGACAAAATTAGGTTGCTGTAGAGAGGCCTGGTTCATCTTCTCTGTCTGGAGCAGCTGTGACACAGCAGGAAGGGAACTGTCTGCAATGGAATCAGGGCCATGTGCCGATGCTGGCACAGCTGAGACGACGACAGAACCTCCTGTGGCACCGAGCCCACTGTCCCTCTCTTGAGCAGCCTGCTCAAAGGTGCTGCTGTGCCTAATGCAATCTCCAGTCCTGCCCAGGACAGCACTGCCATCAGAGTCCCGGTCATAATACTCCATACAAGTCCATCGTCCTCGCCTGTAGGGTTCCCCAGTACCGTGATCCAGCTTGATCACTCTGAAACGTGAGCTGCATGCGGCAGCCACTGTCTGAGCCATTGTCCCAGGTGCAGAGGGCCCCGAGGAGGGCAAGGCAGGTTGAGCACCACTGCCTCCAACGCCGGCAGCTGGCAGGGGCAGGGCAGAGCTCTTGGGCACAGCCCCCCCATTGGGGACCACTGCTGGTGGCACAGCAGCTCCCCCACCAGCAGCTGCAGCCAGCTGCCCGTCCAGGAGAAGGTTGGGAGAGACACTGCTGGGAGTTTCAGCCTCACCCACGTTGTTGAGAGTTTCTTCAGAGGAGCTCCGCTCACAGACATCCTCAGGGCCATAGTCGGTGGCTCGGGAAACATCGAAGATTTCAGAAGACACATCCTCGGTGCGGGACTCATCCGGGTCATCCAGGCTCTCCGTGTCCTCGGTAATGCTGCTGGCCACCTGCGCCGTGGTCACGCTGGTGATCTGGAAGCAGCTCTTCTTCTTGGCCGGCATCTTGGACATGCTTACTCCTCTCGGAGGGGCCGGGCCGGCCAGGTCGGGGGAGCGCGGCCCACCGCGGGCTGTCAGGGCGTGCGGGCCGACTCCCGGCCGCTACCGTACATCCTCCGGCGGCTTCCTGCGGCGGGCGGCGGGCCGCTGCGCTCCTCCTCTTCCTCCCGGCCCGCAGCCCTCCTCCCGCCGCCGGGACGCGGCTCTCCTCCCCGCCGCGGCCCCGCTCCGAGCGCGCCGCGTGGCTTCCTGCCGGCCGAAGTGGGGGGGTGGGGGGGGTGGGGGGAGGGGGCGGCCGCAGATGCGGAGCCGCGGCCCGCCCCGCGCGAGGGGCCCCGCGGCGGCCGGGCGAGGCCCAGGCGGCCCCGCGTCCCCCCGCCCTGCTCCGCGCTCTACCTGGAGACCAGCGCCAGACGCATCTCGCTCGGAACCGGCCCGCAGGCGGGCCCCGGGCGGAGGGCCGGCTCGGCGGAGACGAAGGAGGAAGGACGAGTGAGGTCGGCCCCTCCGCGACGGACGGACGCCGGCCGCCCCGTCGCTCCGCAGCAGCACCGGCAGCGCGGGCTCCGTCTGCGCCCCGCTCGCCCAAGATGGGGCTCAAGTTCTGCCGCGCTGCATGCCGGGAGGGCACCCCGCCCCCCCACGCTCGCCGCGATGACGTCACGCGCAGCCCGGGCATTCGTTCGGGGGGGAGAGAGGAGGGATGAGGGCCGCGGGCGGGGCGGGCGGCGCCCCCTAACGGCGTGGAGGTCCATCTGTCCCTTCCGTGCTATTTTCCAGCGTGATGCGGCATCGAATGCTTCTCCGGCTTGAGAGAGATTACTGCCGCTGCACCAGCAGTCTAAAAACTCATTGGTGTTAGAAGAGTTCGCACGTGCCTGGCTGAGCCCGGTGCGTTTGTTAGGCTCAGGTGTGCAGATGGCCTCAGCCCGGGGCAGACCTGTTCCTTTTGTTCATTTTGAGGTCCTCACCAGCTGTGAGCTCCAGCTCAGGAAACGAAGGGAAGGGTGTTCACACTGCTGTCCACGTGCGCTGCTGGCGTGCTCTGATCACTCACAGCATCACAGGACTTTGTGAAGGGACCTCTGCAACCTCCCAGCAGTTTCCTACAGCAGCCGCGCAGCAACGTGTCCGGGTGGGTTTGGACATCTCCACAGAGCGAGACTCCCCGCCTCCCTGGTCAGCTTGTGCCAGGGCTCTGCCACCCAACGGCCCTGTATTTCAGGCCCTCACAACCTCCGCCCACGAACGTTCTGTTGGCCTTTTTCATCCCATCGCACCTCCTCGCTCCTCTGGGAGGAGTTCTGCCCATGACCACCCAGGTCTCCGTTTCTTTGCACGTTGCCATCGCTTTCGCCACCTGGTGAGGCGGCCCTGGTAGCACTCTGCAGGCAGCTGGCAGCGTCACTTGACCAAATGTAGGAGATGGCCAGAGCTTTTTCTCCATTAGCCTCAGATCCACATTTCACAGTCTGTGTCCTTGCAGATAACGAACCCCACATTTTCAGCATCCTCTGTGCAGAGGACCATCCCTGCACCACAGACTCTTACAGCCCTCAGGGTGTGCCCTTCTGCAAAGCACTCTGTGTGGCACTGCCTCACAACTTCTATGCAGCACCCCAGCTCTCCCTGTCTGTGTGCATACAATGCCAGGACTGTTTTCTTCTCTACTTAGCACTCTGTCTCCTTCCTAGCTTTGTGTTATTATGAACCTCATTCAGCATTCTCTTTCTCCGTGTACTTGATCATCCCTCATTATTTCTTGCCTTCATATCCTTCCAAACCCACCTTCTAGAATTCCTTTGTTCTGCATATGTTAGAAGATGATGGGCTGACAGTGCTGTATCCTTTTTCCTCCTTGCTGATTTTGAATTCCTATCTGAGCTCCATTTCTAATTCTTGGCTCTCCTTCTGATAGAAAGGAGCCTCCACTCCTGGTGATGTGTTCTGCCAGGCAACACCTTCTGGAACAGCTTCCACCAGGTACCCACTGGAGAATAAAGCGTATTCTTTATCTTCTGCTTGCTGCCATCTGTTCCACTTCCTCTTGCCCTCCGATTGACTCTGCATTCTTAGGATTCATCTTTCCTATTAAACCCTGGCTTTGAAGAGGAAAAAGACAATTCCCCAAACTTCCCCAAACAATGCCTCCCAACTAAGTTCCCTCCAACGTTCATTCCTTTGTTTTCTGCACCTTCTTCACAGTATGATTTCATATACACCAACATTAGAAAGGAAAGGTAATGTACAAAGTACAATATATTTAAAAATTTGGAATATCATCTCAACACCAAATCACAATGTTTAAATGTTAATTTTCAGCATAAGAAACGTGTTATGTCCGTGAGAGTGTATTTTTGACATGGGATGTAAGGTGTCAGACCTTATCCCTGCCATTAGTGCAGGAACTGTTACTCCTTGCTCTGCAAGCCCACCAGGTATCATTTGACACAGGAAAGGAACTCTGTATTGGAAGAGTCCACTCTGTGAACTGTGTATATATGAATGTTCTAATGTAACCTGAAGTGTAATGAGGAATGGCCAATTTGGATGACATTTTGCGTGGTCTGGCAAAGGAAAAAGAGAGATTAATAAGGGGTAAAATAGGCAAGGGATGAGGAACAAAATGAACAAGATAAACTGATTGACTAACAAAACAGAGAGGTTTCTGAAAAGTCATACATAAAAATGGCTACAGCCCACGACCAGGTTGGCCAAGATACACACAACGGCCTTGGCAGCATTACACTGATAATATTTTTGCAAGGTGGAATTATTGCTGAACAGTATTTTAGTACATTGGGCACAAACATACTGATATTTTTGTTAAGTGTCAAGCATGTATTTGTTCCTCTTTTGCCTGCAAGAAAAACATCTGCTGCTGTTCATTAAAAGAAATTCCCACATGATTTCTATTTGCGTTTATGTGAGTGTCCACTGTACACAACTGTAATATTTTCTGCATGTATGTGCGATGTTCCTGCTGTGCTGAGATCTGCCAGGGGTGGGTTTAGCAGGTGATGGGGAGGGCAGCACGGGTCAGTGTCCCTGTGCTGGATTACAGGTTTGTGTAGTTCTTCACAGTCTGCATCCACTTCTACCATGAAACGTCTCAGTGAGAGCACCACTTCAGCACCAATGAGAAGGCTAATGGTATATAATATAATATAATATAATATAATGTAATGTAATGTAATGTAATGTAATCTAACGTAATATAACATAACATAACATAACATAACATAACATAACACAACACAACACAACACAACATAATATAATATAATATAATATAATATAATATAATATAATATAATATAATATACTTGGGGGGCTGCAGGTGAATTTACATATGTTGCCATTTAAGGATCATGTACCTGTCATGCAAAAGGCACACATCTTTCCCACAACTCAGCAGTGCTATCGTAGATAACAGAAGACCAAAAATCAAGTTCCTCTGCCACAGAGTCAGAAACTGACCACCGGAATGCACTCAACAAAAATTGCACTAAAATGTTCTGTTTGTTCACATGACTCTAAATGGGAATAAGGCAGTCCATCTCCCTGATCACAGGGGGAGGCTGTGTATCATCCAGACAGTTACACAAGTTGTACGTTCAGGGGGCCCATTTTTGAACCTCAGCCTTACACCTGGGTTGGTGTTTTCCTGCAGTATGACTTTTCCTATTTTAAGGGTGCACTCCATTTCACACAGTTCCTTTTCCAGATCCTAAGTTAGCATTGTAAACTTAAAAACATCAGAAAATCCTTTATTTCACTGTAAACTGTGTGTTTTACAATTCATTAAGGCAGTAGCGTTAGACTGTAAGACATACTTCCAAATTCTTGCTTTTAAAACTCACCTTGATTAGCACAATCTCAAACTGTGCTGAGATGCAATCGTAATTTGGATTTCAACTCCTTTTGAATTTCATCTGCAATCCATTGACTGCAAGGCCTGGAAGACAAATTCCAGGTTACAGTCTGCCGGAGGGAAGAAGGGCGTAGGAAAGGGCAAATGAATTACTTGAATGTCTAAGTAGTATTTTTGCATTTATAAAGGCCACTAACTATCAAGAGAACCAGTGAACAGTAGTTGCAGTATTTAGCTTCGGGCTCCTTTTAAAGTCTCATGTGACAAAAATCATGGAAATTTCCTTTTTCCTGACCCTTACAAAATTCTTCTTTTTTTTTTTTTTTTTTTTTTCCTTGCAGTGTTAATTGAAAATAGTAGGCACTAAATACAATGACCAATAAAGCAAAAAAGAGTCTGACCAACTACAGAGAGCAGATGGAAGCCTTTACACACATGGAAACACATTTCAATTGCAAATGGAAATGAATAAATGTTATGAAATCTCATCAGTTGTTAGCACAATCCCGACTCCTTTCAAGTCAATCACAAAACCAGTGAATGTCAATGAGAGCTGTGTTTTACTTAAATGAATTGTGTCAAAAACTGACAGGAATATTTGCACAGATTAGCAGCCAGGTTACATTTACTTTTTCCATCCTGCCTGGTGCTGCACGTGATGTGCTGGCTGGCTGGGAGCAGTCTGGAGAAGGACTTTTCCTCTGTTCAGTTCACTGTGCCAAAGAGCACTGCACACACCTAGAGCATTGTGTAAATAATTTAGGCAAATTACAGCATAATCTGTAACAGTCGCCCAAAAAGTGCTGTTTCATGGGAGAGTCTGGGGTTTTTTGTTAATAGGGAGCTATTTTCAATTACTCCTGGGCTGTGAAAGCCCCTGTGAGGTTTTCCTCTATTTGATTTGGCTGCTCTCATTTACATTGTTGTTCTCAACCTTGCTTTTTGCTGGGTTTTGAATCATTTGTGGTTTTGAGGTAGAAAGCCGAAGTCAAATCCGATCAGTAAACCGAGTTTGGAACTGCAGTGTGCCGTTGATGCTAAAAAACATCTATTTTGAAGTGATCAGGAGGCAATTCCTATGCGCTGCAACACTTTCAGGGAAGGCAACATCTGTTTCTCGGTTGTTTCTGCTGTATTCCTGGTTTTACTGACTCCTAAGACAGAACTTCCCTCAGGATCTTTGGTAATAAGCAACTATAAACATACGGCCAAGCAACCACGTATTTCAGAACATCTCTGTCATACATAACACGCTCAAAATCCACAATTAAAATAAAATTGCACTCTATTCCACAGTTTCATGGGAAGGGGATTATGGTACTACACCCGCTCAGCGTGCA